GCGTTGTTTTCTCACCTGTAAATGGGTATAAAATGGGCATAACTACCAACTTTGGATACCTAGTAGCAGGGTGTGTAAAAAAGAGGCCCTAATAGTGAGTAGAGTGTGAAACAAACAAACAAACAAACAAACAAAGCCCCAAAGACCTGAATAAAAGTCTACTCATCCTCCACTCCTAACCCAGGTTGAAAACCAACCCTTAAAGCGCCCCTTTTTAATTAGAATTTAAAAATATTTTTAGACACCATGACTCACATAGCTGTTTATAATGGGGCTTCAGGAACACAAAATTCCGAGCCCCAAACCCACCACACCGTATCCCACCCTTCCACTCTTTGCCTCACATTCCCTCCAACTTTCCCACCTGGCTCCTCGACAGTTCCATTTTTAAGCTTAATTGCTGCAGTTTGGGTCTGAAGAGGCCTCAGTTTCCTTTGGCCAGTGAGAGAGGAAGCCGCAGTCTCCTCTTCCCAGTGACTTCATCTTTCCCCCATCCGCCTGACACACCTCATCCCCCTAGGATGGGAGATGTATGCTGAAAGCAGATTACAGACCGAACATGATTGGCATTCAACTTTGCAAACCTCAGCACCCAAACGGAGAGAGAGAACAAAAGGGAATGCCCTGTCACAGAGGCAGGGTGGGATGGGGGAAATGGGGGTGGGGGGTGGGAGGGATACCAGGATTAATGGTGGTGGAGAATGGGCACTGGTGGAGGGATGGGTACTTGATCATTGTATAACTGAAACCCAAGCACAAAAACTTGTAAGTCTACAACTGTACTTCATGGTGTTTCACTAATAAATTTTTATTTTTTTTAAAGGTCCTGTCTTAATATCTTTCATTACATTATCCAGGACCACAAAATTCCTTCCTGGATTTCAGGCTCACGGGGAGCTCACAAAGCCTGAGGCAACCGGCTAGGAAGACAAACCAGTAGCTTCTTTCCGTCCTGTGCAACATCTGTCAACTGACGAGAAACGCAGAGATTCCCAATTTCCACCTCAAAGGATCTGCAGGACGAGCCTCTTCCTGTGACTTCCTTGTATCCGCCCAAACTTGAATCAATCGCTAAGAAATTCAACCGGCCAGGGAGCCTGTAAAAGGGGTCACGCAAAACTCCCTTGTTTGACTTGGTCCTGTCCTAAGTTCCTGCCCACTTGGGGGGCGACTTTTCTTCTCTATGTCCCAGTAGACTTTTCTACTCTCCAGCCCTGAGTCCGCGCATCTTTTCTCTTCAGCATCTTTTCACTTTTCTCTCAGGAAGCGACCGAGGAGCCGCCGCCGCTGCTTCTGCGTCCCCCGCGGACGTCCCGTCCCAGAAGACAGCTTCCTCACAGTCCCCAGGCGACCCGGGTTCGCACTTCAGCGGGCGAGAGCGGGTTCCGACGACCCAGACCCGCCCACCTACGCGCAGCTGGTACCGCGCCAAACTCGGACTCGCACCCGGAGCGGCGGCGCCTCCCGCGCGCCTCGCAACGCCCAGGGCGCACGCGCAGATCCCAACCTCGGCGTGGGCGGGACGTCCGGGGAGGGCGGGGCCCCTGTGCGTTTAGTCACATCCGCTTCCGGAGTGGAAATCCAATTGAAATCTCCCGCCGCGCGGGAAAAAAACCGCGCGCCCGTCTGTCAGCTCGGCTCTCGCCTCAGGTGTGTTTGCAGGGAGGCGACTCTCGGCTGTGTCCCGTGCGTGAGGAGCCCGGCCGGAGCCTGGGGGCTGGGCGGGCGCTGGGTGCGGCTGGTGGGTGACGGTCGACCGGGACCGCGACGGAGGAGAGGCACCTCCGCCCGCGGAGGGTCTTGGGAGGGGGAGTTCTGTGGGAGGTCGGGGAGTTCTGTGAGAAATCGGGGAGTTCTGTGGGAGATCGGGGAGTTCTGTCGGAAATCGGGGAGTTCTGTGAGAAATCGGGGAGTTCTGTGGGAAATCGGTGAGTTCTGTGGGAGGTCGGAGAGTTCTGTGGGAGATCGGGGAGTTCTGTGAGGAATCGGGGAGTTCTGTGGGAGATCGGGGAGTTCTGTGGGAGATCGGGGAGTTCTGTGGGAGATCGGGGAGTTCTGTGAGGAATCGGGGAGTTCTGTGGGAGGTCGGGGAGTTCTGTGAGGAATCGGGGAGTTCTGTGAGAGATCGGGGAGTTCTGTGAGAGATCGGGGAGTTCTGTGGGAGATCGGGGAGTTCTGTGGGAGGTCGGGGAGTTCTGTGAGAGGTCGGGGAGTTCTGTGAGGAATCGGGGAGTTCTGTGAGGAATCGGGGAGTTCTGTGGGAGATCGGGGAGTTCTGTGAGAGATCGGGGAGTTCTGTGAGAGATCGGGGAGTTCTGTGAGAAATCGGGGAGTTCTGTGGGAGATCGGGGAGTTTTGTGAGAAATCAGGGAGTTCTGTGGGAGATCGGGGAGTTCTGTGGGAGATCGGGGAGTTCTGTGAGAAATCGGGGAGTTCTGTGGGAAATCGGGGAGTTCTGTGGGAGATCGGGGAGTTCTGTGAGAAATCAGGGAGTTCTGTGGGAGATCGGGGAGTTCTGTGGGAGATCGGGGAGTTCTGTGGGAGGTCGGGGAGTTCTGTGAGGAATCGGGGAGTTCTGTGAGAGATCGGGGAGTTCTGTGAGAGATCGGGGAGTTCTGTGGGAGATCGGGGAGTTCTGTGGGAGGTCGGGGAGTTCTGTGAGAGGTCGGGGAGTTCTGTGAGGAATCGGGGAGTTCTGTGAGGAATCGGGGAGTTCTGTGGGAGATCGGGGAGTTCTGTGAGAGATCGGGGAGTTCTGTGAGAGATCGGGGAGTTCTGTGAGAAATCGGGGAGTTCTGTGGGAGGTCGGGGAGTTCTGTGAGGAATCGGGGAGTTCTGTGAGAGATCGGGGAGTTCTGTGAGAGATCGGGGAGTTCTGTGAGGAATCGGGGAGTTCTGTGGGAGATCGGGGAGTTCTGTGGGAGATCGGGGAGTTCTGTGGGAGGTCGGGGAGTTCTGTGAGAGGTCGGGGAGTTCTGTGAGGAATCGGGGAGTTCTGTGGGAGATCGGGGAGTTCTGTGGGAGATCGGGGAGTTCTGTGGGAGGTCGGGGAGTTCTGTGAGAGGTCGGGGAGTTCTGTGAGGAATCGGGGAGTTCTGTGGGAGATCGGGGAGTTCTGTGGGAGGTCGGGGAGTTCTTTGAGGAATCGGGGAGTTCTGTGGGAGATCGGGGAGTTCTGTGGGAGGTCGGGGAGTTCTGTGAGAGATCGGGGAGTTCTGTGAGGAATCGGGGAGTTCTGTGGGAGATCGGGGAGTTCTGTGGGAGGTCGGGGAGTTCTTTGAGGAATCGGGGAGTTCTGTGGGAGATCGGGGAGTTCTGTGGGAGATCGGGGAGTTCTGTGAGAAAGTGGGAAATCGGGGAGTTCTGTGGGAAATCGGGGGGTTCTGTCGGAAATCGGGGAGTTCTGTGAGAAATCGGGGAGTTCTGTGAGAAATCGGGGAGTTCTGTGGGAGATCGGGGAGTTCTGTGAGAAATCGGGGAGTTCTGTGGGAAATCGGGGAGTTCTGTGGGAAATCGGGGAGTTCTGTGGGAGATCGGGGAGTTCTGTGGGAGATCGGGGAGTTCTGTGAGAAATCGGGGAGTTCTGTGGGAAATCGGGGAGTTCTGTGGGAGATCGGGGAGTTCTGTGGGAAATCGGGGAGTTCTGTGGGAGATCGGGGAGTTCTGTGGGAGATCGGGGAGTTCTGTGAGAAATCGGGGAGTTCTGTGGGAAATCGGGGAGTTCTGTGGGAGGTCGGGGAGTTCTATGGGAGGTCGGGGAGTTCGGTGAGGAATCGGGGAGTTCTGTGAGGAATCGGGGAGTTCTGTGGGAAATCGGGGAGTTCTGTGGGAGATCGGGGAGTTCTGTGAGAAATCGGGGAGTTCTGTGGGAAATCGGGGAGTTCTGTGGGAGATCGGGGAGTTCTGTGAGAAATCGGGGAGTTCTGTGGGAAATCGGGGAGTTCTGTGGGAGATCGGGGAGTTCTGTGAGAAATCGGGGAGTTCTGTGGGAAATCGGGGAGTTCTGTGGGAGGTCGGAGAGTTCTATGGGAGTTCGGTGAGGAATCGGGGAGTTCGGTGAGGAATCGGGGAGTTCTGTGAGAAATCGGGGAGTTCTGTGGGAGATCGGGGAGTTTTGTGAGAAATCAGGGAGTTCTGTGGGAGATCGGGGAGTTCTGTGGGAGATCGGGGAGTTCTGTGAGAAATCGGGGAGTTCTGTGGGAAATCGGGGAGTTCTGTGGGAGATCGGGGAGTTCTGTGAGAAATCAGGGAGTTCTGTGGGAGATCGGGGAGTTCTGTGGGAGATCGGGGAGTTCTGTGGGAGATCGGGGAGTTCTGTGGGAGGTCGGGGAGTTCTGTGGGAAGTCGGGGAGTTCTGTGGAAATTGGGGAGTTCTGTGGGAGATCGGGGAGTTCTGGAGAAATGGGAGAATTCTGTTAGAAATTTGCCTCCTGTGACTGCCGAGATGCAAGACCGTTGGATGTAGAAGTACTGTGGGCCGGCACAACGCGCGTGAATCCCACGCTGGGTGGCGTTAGGGACCCCTCCACCCCCGACCTGCGCCCCCTTTCCCCCTCAGGTTTTATTTTAATTTTTACAGGTTTATTGTAGAAAGTTTCTTGAAAAGATTTGAAAAGACTCCCCAGTGACAGTCACTGTTTTGCTCATGCTCTTCATCTTCAGCATTAAAAAAAAATTTTTTTTCTGTGCAGATGAAGTTATTTGAGGAGGGGATTTTTAAATTTTTTTTTTCATTTTTAACTTGATTCCCTCTCCCCCCCCCCCCAATTATTAAAGAAAAAAATCTTGTTTTCTGGGCCACATGCTGCAGTGCTTGCTCCAGACTCTGTGCTCAGGAATATTCCTGGAAGGCTGGGAAGGGGAAGGAAGGGGAAAGGACTGGACGAATGTGGCTCCAGGGATCGAACTGGGTCGTCTGCGTGCAAGGCGAGGGCCTTAACCCTTATACCGTCTCTCCAGTCCCATTTTAATCTTTTTGATGTGCTGCCTTTCAGGGTAGCAAGATGGAGTTTTCTAGTGGAAGGCGGAAGAAATTGAAGTTGGTGGGTGACCAGAGGAATGCTTGCTACCCTCATAGCCTGCAGTTTTACTTGCAGCCACCTTCTGAAAACATCTCTCTGATAGAGTTTGAAACCTTGGCTATTGACAGACTTAAACGTGAGTGGTATTTGGGTAAAAAATTTTATATTCTTGAGCACCTCGTATACTTTGTGGGAAAGCAGACACTGTATTTTCTCATTAAGCAATTCATTCAACAAATAACTTTGATTTGCTGACTTATTTATTTATTTATTTATTGCCAATGGAGGGTTTGCTGTTCATTTGTTTATTGCAGGATAATTTATTGAGTGCCACTATTTTGTTATTATTTTTGTCTTTTTGGCCCACACTCTCTGGGGCTCAAGGGTTACTGCATTTAATAATGCCCTGTTCAAAAATAGTGCATTTGAAAGAGGTGCGAGTGTCTCAGTTTCATCAAAACTTTGCAAGAGAAGCTTCCATGTGATTTAATTTGAAGGCTGGTTAGAAGAATTTGAACTGAGAAGTAAAGGGTTTTTCTAAACTAAGACCTATGTCTGACCAAAGGCATTTTGTATCAAGCAAATGAGGTGTAAGAGTGATGTGCTTAGTCTGTTGAGGACCTTATTTTCTGTATGATGGTGGAAGAAATGAATGAGCCAGGTTAAGAACTGAAACAGAAATAATAGCTCAGTTTTCATAGTTTGTTTCAGGTTTACTTATAGGAAAATCGGAAGGCAAGGAGTGACACGAAGTCATTTTTAGAAGAGTAGAGTGAACAGCCAATACAGAGAAGGGGGTACTGAGTACCTGTTCATTAAATGAAGGACTGAAGACAAGGGGGAAAAAAGGTCTGCAGGAACTTATCAGTAGCAGTTGTTTCCTAGCAGTTAAGACGATGATTGAAAAGTGTCGTTAGACTTGACACTTAAGAGGTAACATGGTAAAGGTTTGACCTGAGACAGTGACAGGAGAGATTTAAGGAATGTTAAGGAGGTATTATTATTAAAATAATTTTTTATTGAATCACTGTGAGATAGACCCTTACAAAGCTGTTCGTGATTGGTTTTCAGTCATAGTTTTCCAGCACCCATCCCTCCCCCAGTGTACATTTCCCAGCACCATCAGTGTCCCCAGTTTCTCTCCCATCACCCCTCTTCCCCTAGACTGCCTCTGTGACAGACACTTCTCTCTCTCTCTCTCTCTCTCTCTCTTTCTGTCTCTGTCTCTCTCACTGTACATTGTGGTTTGCAGTACAGATACTGAAAGGTTATCGTGTGTATCCCTTTACCTACTTTTAATACTCAGTTCTTGTCCAGCTTGATCACTTCCAACTATTATTCTCATACTGGTCCCTTCCCTATCTTACCTACACTGAGGAGGTATTCTTGACAGAATTTGGTGACTAGATGTGAGGAGTAAGAAGATGGAGCGGCTGAACTTTCAAGTTGCATGATCTGGTGGATGGAAATTCTTCTAGTGAAGATAGAGATGGCAAGAAGAAGGGCAGGATGAAGGGAAAGATAATTTGGTTAGGTTTGTGAAAAAAAAAAAGTAAGGAGATCACTGGGCTTATATTCAGGTGACTGTTAAAAAAAATTACTGTTTTTGCCCTCAAACGCAGGACCTCACGCATGCAAGGCAAGTAACACTCAGGGATGCACTGAGCTGTGTCCCTGGATTTAAAAGCTACTTTGCCCATAAATTAATAAATGCTTCTTATATTGATGGATGAAAAGTGGTAGGAACTGTTGGACAGGTTGTAGGAAAGATACAGAATGGTTTATTTAGATGCTAGATGGTTGGAGAGCCACTTTTCCTTGCTGTTGTGTCACCTCTGTTTCATCAGTAAAGAAAGGACTTTCTGATGAGTCTATACAGAGTAAGTAAAGCAGGCACCTGGTAGACCACTCCATAAGAAGGATGAAAACAAGCCCTATTTGATCTTCTTTTCATACTGATAAACTTTTCTTAGCAATAGTGGCTCAGTGTGATGTTGGCATCGATTGCCACCCATCATTCCTCCTTCCCTCCCGATTGAGAATTTCCGGTGTTATATCTTGCAGTGGGTATGGCTGCTTTAGAAGATGGATGGAGATTCTCTTCTTCTAAACCTGTATAATTTATATGTTATACTTAGCACAGCAGTAGGGCGTTCGCCTTACAAGCGGCCAACATGGCTGACCCGAGTTTGATTCCTCCGCCCCTCTCGGAGAGCCCGGCAAGCTACCGAGAGTATTCGATATGCCAAACACAGTAACAACAAAGTCTCCAATGGAGATGTTACTGGGCCCGCTCGAGCAAATCGACGATCAATGGGAGGGCCTTTACCTTTACCTTTACCTTACTTAAAATAGAAAGTGTTGCAACTTGACATCTTTTGCAAATAAATAGTTATGGAATTATTGCTATCAATGGATGTTACTTGTCTTGGATTTGGGTTTTAAAAATCCTATCTTGTATTTGGTTTTATTTCCTCTTAAATTTTATCTTTTTAGTGCTAAAAACCGTTGAAAATCTTGGTGTGAGCTATGTGAAAGGAACTGAGCAATACCAGAGTAAATTGGAAAGCGAGATTCGGAGGCTCAAGTTTTCCTACAGAGTAAGTAAAAGGGGGAAAATGTTCCTTCAGTTTGTAACAAATATTCCTTTAGTTTGTGTATTGAATATTAGTTGTGGGAAAAGTCTTGAATTAGGTTCAGGGCCTTTACAAAAAGTAATGTAGCATAGACTGTGTGAAGGCACGTATAGCCCACTTCTAATCATGGCCATATGGTTAGATACCTATAGTACAGCAGGTTTTCTCAGCCTTCTGTGTCAACACTTGGAACATACCTCCTTGTTACAGTGGATTTTTGTGCATTGTAGCTGATCAGTAGTAATCTTGGCTTCTCCCCACTAGATGTCTCCAAACACTGCCAGATGTACCCTGGGTGTACAGAATGATGAATGCTGTTGTTAGATGTGTGCTTCAGCGACTCGAGGAGCAGATAGAATCACCCACTCAAACCAGGGAGGTTTTAGAAGACTTTCCAGAGTAGTTCTAGAATTGCATCTAGATAGATGTTATCAAAAACTAAAATATTGAAATGCTGACTTGAGTGGAGAGAAAAGAACTGATTGAAGATATGTCAAGAGGTAGAATCAGGCCAGAGAGATAACTCAGTGGATCCAGTACATGATTTGGATGCAGGAGGCCTGGGTTTAATCCTTGGCAAGACATGGTCCCTTAAGTACTGCTAGGAGTGAGCCAAGCATGGAGCTGGGAGTAGTGCCTGACTACTGCTGAGTACACTCTTTTTTTCCCCCATCCTAAGCCTCCACAACCCCCTTCTCCCTCCATCCTCCCCCCCCAAAAAAAAAGTCAAAATATTTTAGGGACTGATTTCAGGGAAAAGGGAAAGAGAAGAGTTATGAATAACACCTAGATTTCTTGTTACAATAACTAAATAGTGATAGTACTTTTGAGATGGAATATCAAGGAGAAGTAAGTCTTAGACGAAAGATGTTGAACTTCAGTCATGAGTTGGAAGTGCCTGTAGAGTTCAGTGGATGGTTGGGTACACACACGGGTCTGGGTTTAGGAGACATCTGGGATGGGAGTATAGATTTAGGGGGAAGGTTGGAATCATGAGTAGATGGTGACACACTAGGAAAATATTTGAGAGAAAATTATAGTAATATTTAAGATGAAATGGAAATGGACAAGTTTGGGAAGGAAATTGAGGCGTTACCTGAGAGGTAGGAGATGAGGCAGGCAACTGGTGTCATATTAGCCGAGGAAGACTGATGACATAAATAAGCATACAAGAGTACAGTGGGATGCCTTGCACATGCCTGACGTGGGTTCGATCTCCTGCACCCCATATGGTCCTCTGAGCATCTCCAGGAATCATTCCTGAGTGCAGAGCCAGGAGTAACCCCCCAGAACATTGCTGGATGTGACCCCTAAACCAACTTCCCCCTTCAAAACAAAAAAAGACCACAGATAAATGTAGGAAAGTTTCATGTTGCTTTTATTTTTTGTTTAGTTTTTTTTTGGGGGGGGCACACTCTCTGGTGTTCAAGGGTGGCTCCTGGTTCAGTGCTCAGGAGACCATATGTGGTGCTGGAAATTGAACTGGACCTCCTGTTCAGACATGCATTCCAGCCTGTTGAGCTCTCTTTTCAGCTCTGGAATATGTGTTCTTTCAAACAGAAGAGACTAAAGAAAAAGGGAAATTGTAGGATGTACCCGAGCACACAAGTATGCACACATAAGTATGCATACATAATGGGATAGTTGAGCACATATATATTGCTGATAGATCTAGAAGAGAAGGAAGAGCAAGGGAGCTTGTAGTTATACGCAGTGAGTATTTGATAACTCAAAGGCCTTGTGAGACAAGTAAGAAGATAGTTGCATGGTTTAGGTAGGTTGGGGACTAGCTTTAAGTAGGAGGAAGGAGAGATCTTTTCCACAGGATGGATGCAAACAAGTGCCTTTATTTTCTGTACAGTCAGTGAAGTGTCAGCTGAGAGAGGTTCTGTGGTCGGGAGCTTGGGCCAAGCAAGTGAAGACTGAAGTAGGTTTTCTGACATGTGAGGAAGGAGCTGATTATATATCAAATTTCAATTCTATTTATTCTTTATAAACTGTGTGATCCTGGGCAATGTTTATATAACTTTGCTGGGCCTCAATTGTCTTTTCCTTAAGTTACGGATGTAAGTGCCGGAAAGAAAGCTCAAAGTTGTTCTGAATTTGTTTCCTGGCACAGTGTAGGTCACCTTGACCCTTTTCTTTCCCCTACCTGCTCCAGTACTGCCAGCTCGGCCCTGGTTGCTTAGTTGAGCCTCAGTTGCTTTGCTGACTCCTAGCATCAAATGGTAAGACCCTAACTGCCGGCCTGAGGATTACTGGCATTGGCCTCTGGTGTCTCAGCTTTGCTTGGGATGCCACTATAAAAAACAATGGGGATTTAGTAGTGCCTGTCATATATATATATATCTATCTATATATATTTTTTTCTTCTAAATTTTGCTTTTTGTGTCACACCCAGCGATGTTCCTGGCTCTGAACTCAGGAATTACTTCTGCCAGTACTTGGGGGTCAATATGGGATGCTGGGATCGAACCTGGGTTGGCCACGTGCAAGGCAAATGCCGTACCCACTGTACTATCACTCTGGTCCCCAGCCTGTCATATTTTTTCCCAAAGGTTTAAGTAGATGAATAGATTAAAAAATTGCTGGTACCTCAGCATGCTCAAAATACATTGCTCTTCTGACTTGAATAAGGATTTCTTGTTTGGTAGCGATTCAGTCGAGGTTAGAGACTGAACTTCTAATACTCTAGTCTCTTAGCTATCGGTATATTTTCTTCTTAGGGATTCTATCTCCGCTTTGGGAAATAAACCAGAGACTGGAACTATAAATTTATTTTGAATTCAAGTTTTTCCAGGTGGTTGAAATCAAAGAAGCTGAAGATTTATGTGTAGGCGTGGTGGAAGTTGGTAAAAACCCTGAGGCTAGGCAAAAAGAGAAGTTGATAGGAAGAAAATTGAGGGGTACAATAGAGATTCTCTTAACATCCGTTCGGATTTCAGTTTCTTCTGATTACCGTTAGTGAAATATCCTGGCAAATGCATTTTGAAATTTTGAATTTGAAACATTTCAAAATATGATTGCCCTTGCTGATGCATGGATGGATCTGAAAATATCTTGCTGAGTGAAATGAGTCAGCAGGAGAGGGACAGATACGGAATGGTTTCACGCATTATTCAGGATGTAAAGAAGCAGAGTAGGGGAGTAATTAATGCCCTAAGGCAATGAAAGTGAAGCGCAGGAGACTGAACCGTTCCTTTAGTAGGAAGCTTGTGGCTAGGGAAGGGACCACACGCAATGACAGAGGGAAGGGGTCTTTGGAGCAGGGCTAGGTGCTGGAAGGATGTAAAGTGACATGCGTAATACACTCTCAGGAACTGTATGGTCAAACTACAGCACCTAAGGAGTGTGTTGGGGAGAGGACAAATGACAAAAGTATCTGCTCTAGAGGCAGGGGGGATTTGGGGATGGGAGGGAAAAGGGACATTGGTGGAGGGAAGTGGACACTGGTGATGGGATTGGTATTGGAACATTGTACACCTGAAACTCAGTCATGAGTAACTTTGTAATTGTGTAATTCAAGGTGATTCAGTTAAAAAAAGAAAAAGACAAAAACAAAATGATTTCCATGATAACAAGTATTTTGAAACATTGACTTTGGTTTTTAGTTGATACTGATTCAGATTTTTCTTTATAATTCTTAACCATTTTCAGGCATTTATTTTATTTATGTACTGTTATTTTTAAGGAAAGCCTGGCAGATGAGTATGAACCAAGAAGAAGGGACCATATTTCTCACTTTATTTTGCGCCTTGCTTATTGCCAGTCGTGAGTATCCGTTTACATTCTCATCGTCAAATGTAAGGTCTTGGTCTAACAGTCTGGCACGTGAAAAGTTAATAGGCATTTTACTGAACATAGTAGCACTGTCCACCCGTTGTCCATCGGTTTGCTCTAGTGGGCACCAGTAATGTCTCACAACAAATTGTGAGACTTGTTGTTACTGTTTTTGGCATATTGAATATGTCACGAGGAGCTTGCCAGGCTTTGCCTTGCGGGCGAGATGCTCTCGGTAGCTTGCCGGGCTCTCCAAGAGGGGCAGAAGAATCAAACCTGGGTTGGCCAGGTCGGCCTTGTGCAAGGCAAACGCCTTACCCACTGTGCTATCGCTCCAGCCCACTGAACATAGTAAAACTCTTAATAAAATCAAAAAATGGTTCATATGTTGAAAAATTATTACAGTGAAATTATTATTAATTTTTTTTTTTGGTGTGTGTGTGTGGGGGGCTGTCCTCAGGGCTTACTCATGGCTGTGTACTTAAGGATCACTCCTGGCGAGTTCAGGGGACCATATGTGGTGGCTGTGTGCAAGGCAAGTGCTCCACCATTGTACTATATTTCCTGTCCCTCCAGTCAATTTTTGAAATCCTTTTTTCCGCTTTTTGGTTTTTTTTTTTGGGGGGGGTCACACCTGGTGATGTATAGGGGTTACTCCTGGCTCTGCACTCAGGAATCACTTCTTGCGGTGCTCAGGGACCATATGGGATGCTGGGAATTGAACCTGGGTCGGCCATGTTCAAGGCAAATGCCCTACCTGCTGTGCTATTGCTCCAGCACCAATTTTTGAAATCATTTTACTAAAGAATATAAAAGAAATTATTTTTCTTACAAAATTTGTTCACTGAAGTTTTTTGAGAAATTGTTCATTTGGAATTATAAGGGATTTCAGTTAGGATTTGTTATATTTGTTAATCTATAGGAATGGTTATATTTATAAGAAACAATGAATTAGACACATGCTTGAGTTTGATACTGGTTTTTAGAAGTTGAACTATGTGGATTAGTGCCCATTTAATCATTAGATACCTTGCTTTGGCTTCTTAAAAGTGAGAAGGTGGTTTCTTAGAATCAAGAGTGCCACCTAGAGGGAGAAAGAGTTAGTTGCTTTTGTTCTTAAAAATTGTGTGTTTTTCTTGTTATTGACTAAATACCAAACATTTTATACCAAACATATTTTTATAAATTTATTTTTATTCATGGGCTTATCAAGTGAGCATATTTTGTTACTATCCAAAGATAATGAATGAATGATTATCATTATCTTGGGAAAAGTAAAATATTCTCACTGTTGTGAGATCTGATCTGCTTATTGTCTGTCATCTGCAAGTTGTTCACTGAGTCTGTGACCCAGGGATTGGATTATGCACAGAAGACCCACCCTACCCCTACCGGTACCAGATAAATACCTCACCGGCAGACCTCCACTACCTCCAGTACCTCTACTACCCAGCTGCCGCCACACTCCACGATGCTTTCCGGACTGCGTGGCCGCAAAGCAGCCGCGCGACATATTATAACACACTTAATACCAATATTCCAGGATTGCTGCACCATATTTAATAGGGCGCAAATATGGTTTGAACCATACGAACACCTACAAGGATGATTAGAGGCTGCCCCAAAAGCCTTTATCTCTCTCGGAGAGCCTGGCAAGCTACCGAGAGTATTCTGCCCACACAGCAGAGACTGGCAAGCTATCTGTTGTGTATTTGATATGCCAAAACCAGTAATTACAATGGGTCTTATTCCCCTGACCCTGAAGGAATCACCAATGTGGCAGCATTGAGAAGGATGAGGAAGGAGAGGCTGATAAAATCTCAAGGCCGAACTAGGCTGCCAAAATGGAGAATGACAAAAATGATTGTCGGTACTTTCAATGCATGTACGTTGGCATCAGATGCATCCATCGAGGATCTGATGGTACAAGCGCAAAAGACCAAGTACAACGTCATTGATCTGACCGAGACAAGAAGGCATCAATCACATTACACCATTTTCGACACTGGAGAAGAAGTGTTCCTTGGAACATGTGATAACAGAGGTGTTGTAGGCGTTGGTGTCCTTGACAGCATGAACTTTGCCATGAGCATAGATTTATTCGAATGCTTAACAAACCGAATCAGACGACTACACTTGAATAGATGTGGCTTACTGCCAGCAGTTTCTATCTTCGTTGTCTACGCACCAACATCCAATTATGATGAAGGAGAAATTGAGAAGTTCTACATGGAGCTGGAGAAGTTCTATAAAGAAGACCACACATTCTACAAGATCATTGTCAGTGATTTTAATGCCAAAATAGGACCGAGAAGATCAGGTGAATAACTCCACATCGGGACTCATGGCCTAGAATGGAATGAACAGGGTGAGAGACTGTCTGAGTTCATCATGTTGACCAAGACCATCCATGGTAACTCACAGTTCCAAAAGGCTGAATCTAAACGTTGGACATGGGAGTCTCTTGATGGACGGTTCCACAACGAAATTTCACCACATCAGATTCAATCGATGGTTTTGCCTGACTGATGTCGCTGTTGTCCCAAAATTCCAAATGTGATCAGACCACCATCTCCTTTGTGCAAATTTCTACTTCACAGAGCGGGGAGAAAGGGCTGCAAAGTTCAAAAAGAGAACTCCCAGAACGACCACCAACTGAGAGCTCTTTGGCACTATTGCTGCAACATGGGAAGATGCCGTTGTTGACAACATTGATGGAGTATGATCGACTGGTTCAGCACCTCCACGATTGTACAAGGAATGCCAAGAGAGAGATAGCCACAAAAAAAAACGCTTGTCTTTGAAAACTCTTGAGCTTATTCGCCAGCATGGTTTGGTGCCTGCCTCAGGCAACCGCAAGCGAACATCTGAGCTCGCAAAGCAGTGCAGAGATGCCATCAAGGAAGACCTCAAAGAGAGAAGAGCAGAAGTGCTGGTAGATGCGGCAGAAGCCGGGAAAAGTATTCGTAACACTCACCTGTCCTTTGCCAACTACAAGACCAAGATGACTGCCCTCCGACATCCCGATGGATCTGTCACATCTTCCAGAAGGGCAATGGAGAAGATTATCCATGACTTCTACTCAGATCTCTTTGATAGCCACGTCTACCTGCCTACATACCAAATTCTGCAGGATGGATATGTCGTTTCCAACGTTCTCCCTTCCGAAATCCGACATGCCATTTCATCGGTAAAGAAATGAACAGCACCTGGCTCAGACAAGGTCAGACCTGAACACATGAAGAACCTGCTGTCTGTACTCATCAATATACTGGCTCGGCTCTTCACACGCTACCTGTCTGAATGCAAGGTTCCGACCCAGTGGAAAACCAGCAGGACTGTACTACTGTACAAGAAGGGAGACATCCATGACATTGGCAACTATCGCCCAATCTGCCTTTTGTCTGTCATCTACAAGCTGTTCACTCGAGTCATCCTGAATATGATTGGCAGAACACTAGATGAAGGACAACCATACAAGCAAACCGGGTTCCACAAAGGATTCAGCACAGTTGACCGTATCCACACGATAACCAAGCTCATTGAGGTTTCTCGGGAGTTCAAGATGCCGCTCTGCTTAACGTTCATTGATTTCAAGAAGGCCTTTGATTCTGTTGAGACGAAGGGGTCATTGAAACCCTAGCCAATCAGGGCATTCAAACTCAATACATCAGGATCCTCCGTGAGCTCTATTATGGATTCACTACCAGGATCTCACCATTCTTCAAAGAAGTGATCATCGATGTCAAGAGAGGGGTTTGGCAGGGCGATACCATTTCACCAAAACTCTTCAGTGCCACCCTCGAGAACATCATGTGACGACTGGAATGGGAAGGAATGGGAGTGAAGATAGATGGTCGGCAACTACACTACCTCCACTTTGCTGATGACATAGTTCTAATAACACCAAACATTAGCCAAGCAGCACAAATGCTGGCCGACTTTGACCAGGAGTGTGGAAAGGTCGGACTACAGCTGAATCTCACGAAGACAATGTTTATGAGAAACAGCCTCGTTCCTGACCCTCCATTCACTCTCAACGGAATGACCATCTCCGAATGCAACAGTTATGTGTACCTAGGTCCAGAAGTCAACATGACAAATGACCTGGTACCTGAGTTGCACAGGAGGAAGAGAGCGGCTTGGAACTCCTTCAGTAGCGTCGCTGAAATATCTAAGAGGATGAAGAACCTCCAGTTCTGGGCACATCTTTTCAATTCCACTGTTCTCCCTGCATTAACATATGCCTCAGAGACCTGGGCCCTACGCAAACAGGATGAGAACGCTATTCAGGTTTTTCAAAGAGGAATCGAAAGAGCTATGCTTGGAGTGTCTTGCGTCACTCAAATGAGAGAAAGAATCCAGAGTTCTAACCTTTGTCGATGATAAAGAATCAGGGACACTGTCTCGTTTGCCAAGGCATCGAAAATCTGATCGGCTGAACGTGTAATGAGATTTGGAGACGACCGCTGGACTAAAGCCATTACCGACTGGATTCCACGGGACGTCAAAAGACCATGTAGCCACCCACCTACCAGATGGTCAGACTTCTTTATCAAGACCCTGAACAATCAGTTTGAGGCTCTTTGTGTTCCTAGAATAAGTAGACGCCATTGGGCTACACTAGCACGCGACAGGGACAGATGGAGACATTAGTGGTTCCTGCTTGAGCAAATCAATGATTAATGGGAAGTCAAGTGATTAAGTGATTGACTAAATACTAAGAATGTTTTTATAAATTTATTTTCCTTTATTGGCTTATCAAGAGAGAATATTTTGTTACTATCCCAAGATAATGAATGAATGATTATCATTATCTTGGAAAAAGTAAAATATTCTCACTGCTGTGAGATCTGATCTGCCTGTTGTCCATCGTCTGCAAGTTGTTCACTCGAGTCATCCTGAATAGAATAGGCAGAACACTCGACAAAGGACAACCATGTGAGGAAGCCGGGTTCCGAAAAGGATTCAGCACCATCGACCATATTCACAATGGTGACCAGACTCATTGAGGTTTTGCAAGAGTTCAAGATGCTGCTTTGTCTAACGTTCATCGATTTAAAGAAGGCCTTTGATTCTGTTGAGACTGAAGCAGTCATTGAAGCCCTTGCCAAACAGGGCGTTCAAACTCAGTACATCAGGATCCTCCATGAGCTGTATTACGGATTCACCACCAGGATCTCACCATTCTACAAGGAAGTCATAATCAACATCAAGAGAGGGGTTCAGCAGGGTCATACCATTTCACCGAAACTCTTCAGTGCCACCCTCAAGAATATCATGCGACATCTGGAATGGGAAGGAATGGGAATGAAGATAGATGGTCGGCAGCTACACCATCTTTGCTTCGCTGATGACATCATTCTAATAACACCAAATATTAGCCAAGTGGCACAAATGCTGGCTGATTTCAACTGTGAGTGTGGAAAGGTCGGACTGCAGCTGAATCTCACCTAGACAGTGTTCATGAAAAATGAACTAGTCCCTGACGTTCCAGTTGCTCTCAACAGAATGAACATCTCCGAGTACTGCAGCTATGTGTACCTGGGTCGAGAACTCAACATGAGGAACTACTTGGTGCCAGAACTACGCAGGAGGAAGAGAGAGGCATGGAGTGCCTTCAAGAGTGTCAAAGAAGTTGTTAAGAGGATGAAGAACCTCCAGCTCCGGGCACATCTTTTCAACTCTACCATTTTTTTTCTGCACTAACATATGCCTCAGAGACCTGGGCCTACGAAAACAGGATGAGAACGCTATATGGGTATCCCAAAGATGAATTGAGAGAGCTATGCTTGGAGTATCATGCTTCACTCAAGTGAAACCTCTGTCAACAATCAAGAATCAGGGACGCTGTCTTGTTTGCCAAGGCGTCAAAAATCAGATGGGCTGGACACGTAATGCGATTTAGAGATGACCGCTGGACTAGAGCTGTTACCGATTGGATTCCATGGGACGTCAAAAGGACGCGTGGCCGCCCACCTATGAGATGGTCAGACTTCTTTGTTAAAACCCTGAACAAACGGTTTGAGGTTCTTCATGTTTCTGGAATAAGCAGATGCTACTGGGCTACAGTAGCATGCAGCATTGGTGAATGGAGACGTTACTGGTGCCTGCTTGGCAAATCTACGATCAACGGGATGACAAGTGATACAAGTGATCCCACAATAATAGTTGAAAAATTAACCAGTTTTGGTCTTAGAGGTTTCTTTCTTTTTTTCTTTTTAATAGAACATGAAGTTTATAGAATTTATAATAGTAACTAAATACCTGACAAACTATGAAAGTCACCTCAGACAAACTCTTAAGTAATATTTCATATGTGGCAGTGTAATTTATAACAACAATAATATCTAGAATGTACCTGCCTAATAAATTACTATATTTGCAGTGTTGAGTTTTAAAAAAAACATCTCAAATTTTGAGAAATTATAAACTTTAAAGTCTAAGCAAAGTATACTTTGCAGTGTTTATCTAATCAGCGCATATTCAGGGACAGTAACTTTTAAAAGTTTTGGTCTTTATTTGGCCTCGATAAAAACTATCTTTGAAGAAATAGTTCAGTTTCTAATTCAAATAACTTTTTTGCAGCTACATTAAATGTAATGAACTCTTATGTTATTTGATAATACTAGAAATATTTTGCATTTAATTTTTGAAATTTTGTGGTCATTAGCCCCATTCCTATATTATCCCTGGAAGATTGTGATTATATGCTATTCATATTTATGAGAGAGAACTTGCATTCTTTTAAACTTGTATTTATTGGCATTTTAATCTTGTGTCCAGTATTTCATAAAATTATGTTGCATAAAATTGCTTGATTTTAAATTAATTTTTATAATTGTTTCAACTTTAGTGAAGATCTTAGACGCTGGTTCATTCAACAAGAGATGGATCTCCTCCGATTTCGATTCACTATTTTACCGAAGGACAAAATTCAAGATTTTTTAAATGATAGCCATTTACAGTTTGAGGCTGTAAGTATGTATTTGAAGTCGTTTAAAATTGTTTGCACCACTCATTCTCCTCCTTTGCCTGAAGTGTTGCTATTGGTGTTCATTATGTTTTCTTCTCTAGTACGTAACTCACAGGGCTGGAGTGCACCTGGTGCTCCCCTAGCAGCGCTGTATGTGGACTGAAAAGAAAAAAAGGTCTATTCACATTGTACAAAATGACTAGAAGAGAAGGGACTCTTAGCACCAAAGCCAGTCGTTTAGTTACTAAACATGTGATTTATGGAAACAGGAAACACAAAAAGATTTAATTCATCAGGTTTTATCTTTAGCCAAAATCTTCTCAGCCAAAAAATTAAACCTAGTTATGCATTAAGGAAAACAAAGTTAATACTTATAATCAATCCCTTGGGCATTTTTTTTGTTTGTTTTTGGTAGGAAGCACCTGGCAGTGTTCAAGGTTTACTCTTGGCTCTACCAACAATCAAAGGTCACTCCTGGAGGGCCTTGGGTGACCATGATACAGTGCCAGGAATCAAACCTGGTCAGCTATATGCAAGGCAAGCACCCTGCCTGCTCTACTAATACTCCAGACCTCCCTGGCTATTAACTTACTTTCTGTCTCTGTGAATTTTTTTGTCTACTCTGGACATTTCATGTAAATTAAATCATATAATGTTTGAGTTTTACTTGCTGTCTTTTACTTAAGAGTATTCTTAAAGATTTATCTGTGTTGTAGCTTGTATCAGTGCTATGTTCCTTTTTATTGCTAAATATTTTCTCCATTTGACAGTTGGGTATTTGGATTGCCTTCACATTTTGGCTGTTATAAATAATGGTATGGTGAATTATTAAATTTTAGGTTTTGGTGTGGCTCTTTTTTCTTTCACATGTATGCTAGGAATTGGAGTGACTAGGTCATAGGGTAATTCTGTGTTAAAAATTTTATTTTTGTTTTTGGGCTACACCTCACAGTGCTGAGGAATTTCTCCTTGCTCTGCATCCAGGGATCACATACACATTTGGGGAACCATATGTGGTGCTGGGAGTTTCACCCTGGGTGGGCTGTATGCAAGCATGCAAGGTGAGGTGCTCTTTTTCCCCAACTTCAAGCTGTACTACAAAGCAGTAGTAATTTAAACAGCCTGGTATTGGAAGATGGGCAGACCCCTCCAAATGCCAAAGAGAGCTCGTGTAATGGGAAAAATTATTTATCCAGTCCCTGTATGACAAGGGGTTAATATCAAAGTATGTAAGACACTGGTAGAATTTTACAAGGGAAAAACATCCAACCCCATCAAAAAATGGGGAGAAGAAATGATCAGAAACTTCCCGAAAGAAGAAATATACCTGACCAAAAGGCACGTAAAAACGCTCTCTATCACTAATCATTAAGTAAAGTAAAGTAAAGGCCCTCCCGTTGTTCATCGATTTGCTCGAGCGGGCCCAGTAACGTCTCCATTGGAGATTTTGTTGTTACTGTATTTGGCATATTGAATACATCACGGGGAGCTTGCCAGGCTCAGCCGTGCGGGCGAGATACTCTCGGTAGCTTGCCGGGCTCTCCGAGAGGGGCGAAGGAATCGAACTCGGGTCGGCCATGTTGGCTGCGTGCAAGGCAAACGCCCTACCGCTGTGCTATCACTCTAGTGATAGTGTGCTATCACTAATTATTAAGGAGATGCAAATGAAAATGAGACATCTCACACCACAGAGTCTGGCACACTATTCTCACTAACCAGAATCTGGAAGCAAACTATGTCTGAGAACAGATGATAAAGATACTATGGCTCATCCACACAATAGAATACGATGCAGCCACTAACAGCCACTAGGAAAAATGAAGCAATCAAGTTTGCTTATAAATGCATGGACCTGGAAAGCATTATGCTGAGTGAAATGAGTCAAAAGGAGACATACAGAACATCCTGACCCTGCCAGGCTGTCTTCACCGGGGCAGCTCGAAGGAGGGCCAGTTGAGTTTCCCTCCCGGTCCCAGCAGGACTCCAGCAACCAAAAACCTCTAGAACCCAACCATGCAGTCATGCTCAAGGCCGCTCTCCACACACCAGCACCTATGAGGGAACCTGCAGAAAAACCCAGGTATGCAGGACCCATGACTGAGATCTCCAAGTTCACTCGGAATGGGACTGGGCCTCCTCCACCCAGCTCCCCAGTTTTCCAGTAGCTTGGTAGTCACTCCCCCCCCCCCCCCCACGTGCCATATAATCTCATCAACTTGGGCCAAGAAATAAAGCTCCCATAAGAGCTACACAGAATGTCCTGGAGTGCACAGCAGCGTTTCTTATTCTTGAGCCCACTGATGTTACCAAAAGTAGCACATATTTGTTTGGGTTTAAAATACATGCTTGTGATCCCTTATATAAGGGCTTAAATGGCTCCAGGATGAAATGCAGTAACCGTCACACACTTTCCTCTTCTGGTGGTGGGAAGGTGCACAGTGGTGGGATTCGTGTTTGAATATTATCTGAAATGAACTATTGTGAACAAGATTATAAAAATAAAATTAGAAAAAATGGAGAGTTACAGACATAGAATGATTGCACTCATCTTTGGGACATAAAGAAGTATAATATGAGACCAGTACCCAAAGACAGTAGAAACAAGAGCCAGGAGGACTGGTCCACAGATGGAAACTTGCCACAAGTGGAGGGTGGGGGGAGGGCAGACACCGGACCACTATGACAATGATCGTTGGGTATCATCACTCTGGATAAGAACTGAGTGCTGAAAGAAATGTACATGATAACCTTTCAGTACCTGTATTGCAAACCATAATGCCCAGAAAGGAGGAGGGAGGTAGAGGGAAGATGCGTTTGCCATGAAGGCTGGCTGGGGTGGTGGGCAGGCAGGTGGTAAGAGTGGCAGCATTGTTGGTGGGAAATGTACCCTAATGTACGCTGGTGAAGGGATAGGTATTGGAACATTCTATGATTGAAACACAATCATTAACAACTTTTGTAACTGTGTATGTCATGGTGATTCAATGAAAAAAAAAAAGTGTACTTTCTAAGAGAAGAACAAGTCAGAGGCCATGAAGTACAAGCATCAGTCAACTGAATGAAATGCTTTACAAAAACTGGCCACATCTTTATGAGAACTACATCTGGATTACTAAGCCCGATGAGATATCCTCAATAAATAGTCTGTATGACACTGTATTGTGGAAGTCCACCCATGAAGATGCATTAAAGAAAATTATTGCTAATGCTCTCATCTGTCACCACCTACAATTTGCAAGGAATTTATACCTCCACTTATTGGTTTGTGTTTTTTGGCTTCCTAAAATAGCTGCTTCTATTATCTGACACAACCATTGGTCTTTCTTATTAGGGAGTGCTTCAAGCATGGTATATAGAGTAGAGATGTAATGGGGCCATTAATTCTGCATTCCACAGGTATTTGACATTAGTGCCACAAAGTCTATAGTGATCTTTACATTGCTTCAGATTAACTCTCATGGCCATAATAAAGAAGTTCATTTTCAAGGGCTTCAAGTAACCTGTTTTACAAAGACATATATGTCAGAAGTTTCTTCTAATTGTGTACGTCTGTGTTCTCTCTTGGAAAGGATTTTCTCTTTCCTCACATTTCTCTAAGTAATTTTCTTTAAACTTCACTGAAAACAAAACAAAACAAAACAAAAAAACATGTTGGTTCTCCTTGCTTCCTCTTATGTGAGAAATGAGGGTTTTGTTTTTGTTTTTGTTTTTGTTTTTGCTGCATGAATCTGTCATCCATCAATCTCCATTAAATAATCACAGGCTAACTCATTGACTTATAAGTAGGATAAAATTCTGTCTCATACTTGTCAATCAACTTTGGGATTTGGGGCACATTTTCTAATGCGAACTTTAGTTTTTAATCTTTAAAATGGAGATGGTCATTGTGAGGTTTATGTGAGAATCTATATCAGTATGATGGACCCTACATAGAGGCTGCATATGCTTCTGTTGTGGAAGAGTTTAGAGTTCTGTAAATTGATGTTTTTCTACAATTAAAATTGGTTTTTGTTTTGTTTCTTTTTGCCACACCTGGTGGTGGTTAGGGCTTATTCATGGCTTGGTAATCAGGAATTAGTTCTTGCGGTGCCCAGAGTACCATATGAGGTAACGAGGATTGAACCTGGGTTGGCTGTATGCAAGGCAAGTGCCCTACCTGCTGTATTATCTCTCCAGCTCCTGAAAATATTTTCTTTTGCATCTTTTTAGTTTTAGGAAAAAATTAAATGGGATTTATAATCACTTTTGTATTGACAGTCACCATCAAAGCTTTAAGTATATCTGGTTAATTTTGAAGTCTACACCATAAAATATAAAACTTGTTCAGGTGTTTGTAGGTAGTGGGGATTCATGGTAGAATGAGAGCGCATTGGAGAGGCCTGACAAGAAAACTTAACCTGTGATAGATTATGGTTGCTTTCCTGGCAGAGATCTTTCCCACCCTTTTCTGTTTTTTTTTCCCCCATGCTGGAGTGATAGCACAGCGGTAGGGCATTTGCCTTGCACGCAGCCAATGTGGCTGACCCGAGTTCGATTCCTCCGCCCCTCTCGGAGAGCCCGGCAAGCTACCGAGAGTATTCGATATGCCAGACACAGTAACAACAAAGTCTCCAATGGAGATGTTACTGGGCCCGCTCGAGCAAATTGATGATCAACGGGAGGGCCTTTACCTTTACCTTTCCCCCATGCATCTGATGTTGGTAATTAAGGCACTTGAATATTGGCGCTTTTGATTAGCATGGACCTAGAAATGTAGTTCTTCCCTTTTAATTTTAAGCTTTTAGCATTTCATTAACAGGCATGTGCAATTTCCCTTCTATTTGGCTTGCATTTGAAAACCCTTGTGCTAAAACAAGGATCCAGAGATTATCACACTCAGCTCCCGGGAGAGAACAAGGCAGAGTCTTCTACCCTGTGCCTGACTGTCTCCACCAGGGCCCAACAGCTGAAGACCTCCGGGCCCCAGCCTAGGCCATGCTGGGACCACTCTCCACACACTTG